AGCGCCGCCGCGCTTCCCAAGCGGCGCACTATCCAGTGCGCCACCGGGCCGGCCCCCAGAGAATGTTTTGCTAGCTGTTTTGGTATATTCCTAGGTTGGATTGTGAAAAGTTTTGCAAACTTAAGAATTCTTAAGCTGAGAAGAAATGCAGTCTAAGAACAGCTGTACCGTTTTTGCTTCTGCTTTTGTAGAGAAGACATTCCGTTTTATACAGATGAAAGAATGCTGTGCCTGCCAGCTTCCATGGGGCCTCTAGTCAAGATAGGCTTAGATTCAGATTATTTGGGACAGATGGCTTGTAATAGGATTCTTCAGTATCTCCAAATATTAAATTCTACAGTCTCTTTTGGTAGCCTGCTGCTGGGTTCAATGCTCTTGGACTGACATTTTACCCTTATGTTTAATCAAGCTGCTTTTCTGTTGCCGTGATGCTAGCCTAGATTCCCAAATTGGACTATGTCCTAGGCTGTTGTCCTTGTAATAATAGGTTGCTTATAGCAATTCCTGGGCCTCATTTTTTTTCCAGATCCACTAATGTTCTCCCCGCATTCTGCCCCCAAACCCCCTAATCTGTATTATCATTTTAAACACTTCTTCACTGCTGTTTCTAGCTTTTCTGTATGCTCCTTACATAGAAACTTAAAACTGTGGCTACATGTAGCTCTCTGAAAGGCCTCTTAGTTAAAAAGTAAATGATTGATTCCCTTATTGTTTTTGTTAGGTATATTCCTGATGTTAGATTTTTACAGCATGGTATTAAATGTGTGTATGCAGCTTGTTTTAGTAAGCATTATTCTAATGTCTACTCATTTGCAAACTGAGTTTTGTTTTAGGTTTACTGCATCTGGCTGCTTTCCCCATTATTATGAATGTCTCATTCGTTCTAGGTCACCAGTTATACCCCTCTTTGTTTATCCCTATTTGGTCATCCTTTGTACACAGTATGTGCCAGATATTTGTGAATTAATTAGTACATTCATGTTTAAATAATGTCTGTTTCTGACAAGTTCCTCTCCTGAGACATTATCAACTCCCTCTTACCTTCAGTCGCAGTCCCTCTAGGGGTATGTTAGCACTTAGAAGTGGATATTGTGGGTTGTCACAATGTTTGGGGGCTCACTGATGGCATTTAGTGGACAGGGACTAGGGGCAATTAACAATCCACTGGGCACAGGGCAATGGTTGTTTCTACGTGGAATGTCAGCAGTGTTCCTGCTAGGAAGCAGGGACAGCCATTTATGGTTGGGAGTGTTTATCATGGAGTTGATCCTGTGGCAGACATACAGTAGGAAGCATTTCTTGAGAGCCTACTACATGCCAGGCACTGCTGTAAGGGTCTTCTGTGTATTAAATCATTTGATCTTATTAGACTCAAAGATATTTTACTGTTTCCTCCATTTTTCAGATAAGAGGTTGAATAACTAGTCACATTGCTAATAAGTGGGAAAAATGGGTTTCAGACTCTAATTGTCTTATAAAGAACTCAGCATTGAACCACTTAATCATCTGCCAGCCTAAGTTTTATACCTCTGTACCTACTTAAAGCCCTTTCATGTGTAATACCTGATTATCATATGTTTAATGTGACCCATTAGTAAGTTAGTGATACCTATCAGGTAATAGTAGGATCTAGATTTAAAATGTGCTGTAGGAAGTTAAATCTGTCCTTGATGACCAGCTTGTCTATCGTTATTCAGTCCAGTAGTCATGGCTTTATGGCCTTGTTCCTCCTTATTTCCTTTTGATTGGCTGTTTGGGATACAGCCATATATACAGCTCACCATTTGTCATAATTGAAGTTAAATTTTGTTGTTGTGATTTAGGTTTCACAAAAACATCATGGTTATTTTCCAAAACTTGGATTTTCTAGATGATTTTCAGTAGATGATGAAAAAATAGACACAGTTAAATTATTTTTTAACTGCAGAACTCTAGCCTTCAATAAAACACTTAACTATGGAATCCTTTTTAAGATGAATTCTCTTTAGGAAATGTTAAAGCTAGAACCATTCTTTTCAGGATTTTTCAGAGTTCCTGTCTCTTGAAGAGGTTCAATCTGGGGGAGGAAAATGGCTTAGGACCAGAATGAGCCAAGGAACTCACATTGTTAAAAAGATGCTTGTTGAATTTCAGGAGTGACCTAGTGCCAAGGTTGTGTCACTGTTGAGGGACACCGGTGGCTGACCTAGTTGTTGGCACTTGGGTGTGTGGGAGCTGTTGCCTTCTTGGTTTCTAGCCACAGGGTAAGGGAGTCAGTACCCTTCCTGTTGAGCAGAAAAGCTGTTGGGGCAGAACCCTGATAGCCACTGCTTCCAAAGTGTCATTGATGGCTCCTCCTCCTCTGTCTCTCTCTCACACACAGACAGGCTGGATTGACTTAACTGTGACTACTAGAGCCAAAGTAGTTCATTCTGAAATTAGACAAAGAATACATACACTTTGGTGTCTCAAGCCAAGGAAGAGAAGTAGCATTAAATGACTAACAGCTTAGTTAATAAACCGATTTTGCCATTGCCCTTGTAAGTTATAATATTGATATTTATTTCTATAAGAGGAATGGCCAGGAAAGTTGAAAATGTATGCCTTATAACTTTAATATAGAAAATCTAGTCAAATACACATATGAAAAGATGCTTAGCTCTAAATGTAAATCTTAAATGGGAGGAAAATATGGTTATTGAATCTTAGAAAATGGAGATCAAACTGTAACTACTGTCTTCAAGATGTTTTATTAAGTGAAAACAAGCAAATAATATATATACTTCTACCTATAACAATGTTTTTCTAAGTTGTTTTTTACTATGACTCCCATAGTAAGAATATATTTTACATCACAGCCAAGTACATCATTCTCACTAAGGGCAAAGTACTCTGATTCTTTATTATTTTTACTGCTAAATTGACTCAATCATCTACTAATGGGTTGCAACCCACAATTGTAAAAACACTCAGCATGATCTCTTTTGTGCTTTGGAGAGGGAAAATCTCTGGCAGTATACCCAAGAAAGTTGTGGGGCTAAGGTATTGTGTTTGGGGGCAAGTGATGAGATTTTTACCCTTTTTTTTTAATATTTGAATTTTTTACTGTGGCCTGAATCATTTTTAAATAATTAATAAAAGTAAAATAACAAGCAGAGAAAACCATCTTTTCATTGTGGCATTCCATTCCCTGATGTGGCTCTTCCTATGTTTGTCATCTTACTTCAAGTCTCAGTTCTTGCCCAGATGGGATCTTCTCCTGTCTGCCACCATTTCAGTCCAGTTCCACTCTTCTCTACTGAGATTTCAGCTTCATGGAAAGAGTTAATGGAACTGAGAAAAGAAGTTCAGAAAACTGGCACTTCATTTATAAAGTGAATTCATGGAATTGTGTCTTTCCCTTTGATTTTCAAATTAGAACTAGCATATAAGTTACTTTTGTGAAATTAAAAAAAAATTATTTTAACGTAAGGAACTTATTAACCTTGTCCATAGCATATTCTTTGAAAAGAATTTATTCTAGTTCTTTCATGAAAAAAAAGACTGTATAAAAAGCATTTGAAGTAGAGGCTAATCAATGTCTTTTTTTTTTTCTTAATAGGTTTTAAAATGGAAAATTTTGATGCATCACTTAGTACCTATTTCAGAGCATTACTGGGCCCCCGAGGTAAGGTGTTTATTGGTTTTGCTTGCCGTCTTTCACCCCCCCCCCCCACCTCTGCCTTCATTGCAGCCACTTGTAAATATTACATGAAGAGATTCTAGAAAACATTAGCATTTTCTATGATAAGACCAAAACTTTATCGGATAACAAGGAGCTTAGAAAAGTCCTCTGAAAGTCATTGAAGTTGTACAGTATCCCCTGGCTCTTGGAGTAGAGAGACAGCTGCTGTGGGTGGCCTTCTGCTGACTTTAGCTGGAGATCAAATTATGCTGTAAAGCTTGTAGCCTGAGAATATCATAGATTTCACCATTATGTTTTCACAATTCTTGTGAGTCTGTAAAAGAAACTGGTTTCCAAAATGCACTATTGCAATAGGAGTTTAAGCCCCTTCCCTTTTTACAATTTTAAGGGCTTTTTAATGTCCTTTCACTCTGTGCCATGCCAGTGGGTAAATATACACCTCAACTCACTTGTTATACTTAATCTTTTATTATCTTATAGAAAGTAAATCAGCTCCATATTGTCTTCTTTTGATGTCATCTATAATGTCTTTTAATATCTTATTTGTAAAGAGGGAACTTTTTAGTTTAACAGAAAGATTCATAGAAAAACTACAAATGGCTTTTAAACAGATTCTCAGTTTCACTCATGATTTTTAAAATACAAAAGAAACAACAAAAGGAACTTCCTCTGTTAGTATGGCAGAGTTGAAATAATGCTTGATACCATCTGTGATTATAGTGAAGGTGTGGGGAATGAGTTTAAATTGGCACAGTCTCTAGGAAGGGCTCTTGTGCCTTCTACTGAGATTAAAGTGCACATGCCCTTTGACCCAGCTGTTCTACTCCCAAGACTTTATCCTACAGCAAACCTTGATCAGTTATGTAAAAATATATATGAGGGTACTTCAAAAAGTTCATAAAAAGATCCACATTATCTTTTAATTTTATTTTTTCACAAACATTTTGAGGTACCATTGTGTAAAGATGTTATTATAGTATTGTTAGTCAAGACTAGAAATCATCTAGATGCCCATCAGTAGGGAATAGGTTAGTAAGTTAGTGTATGTCCAACTGAAAAGAACAAGTGGGGCTTCCAGTCAAGATGGCAGAATAGACATTCCCCAACATCACTCTCTCCCATGAATCAACCAATTTACAACTATTAAAAAGCAACAACAGCCAAGCTAGGGCCACTAGAGCTCAGGGGAAGAGGAGGAGAGACCTATGGGGTGCGAAAGCAACAACAGCCAAGCTGGGGCCACTAGAGCTCAGGGGAAGAGGAGGAGAGACCTATGGGGTGCATGAAGGCAGGAGTAGCCAAAATGTGAGAAAGAAAGGACCACTCCTATCATTTCGAATCCCAGCCACTTCAAGGCTGGAGCTGGTGAGCACACGGAGCAGGAGCTGGCAAAAACCACTGCTGTGCCCTTCCTATGAAGTTGCTTGTAGGCATCAGGGGATACGAGGGCCCTGATGGCCCCAAGGCCAGCAAGACCACTAACAGGGTTCCCATAGACCCACATAGGAGTGAGGAGCAACAACAACTGAAAAAAGTAGCCACTCAGAGGCTGGTGAGTCATTGCAAGGGACTGGTGCAGAGCCCATCCCATGGGAAGTGTTTGGAGTGTGGGCAGTGGGGGAGATGGGCCACCAGGGGAACATTGGGGTACAGCAAGGATGGCTGATCTGCCCTCTAATCAGCACAGGCCCACTATGGGTAGACTGGTCAGGAATATAGAAATGCATGGGGAGCAGTTTGCTGAAAAGACTCACATCCAGACCAGAGTTTCTACACAACCCAGGTGTGCCGGGTCTCACAAAATCCACAAGTACCTACAAAATCAACCATTAAAACCTGAGCTACACAAAAAGCCTTCCCCAGAGAATCAGCAGCAAAACAGCAACTTAGCTCAACCACAGGGTTCCAGTGCTGGTCCCTACAGGAAGTTCCCCCATTATAGAAGTAAGCAAAGGACAACAAATTAGTTCCAGTGCAGAGTTTAAGTAGTGGAAACAGCGAATAATCCAACACAGAACTGAAAGAAGAAACAAAATATCCACAGACCAGAGACAAAGTTTGATATTAACTAGTAAAGGTCTCTCATCACCAAAGAACACCTATAAAACCTAGAAGGACTGGAAGTCCCCTTGGGCCCCCAAGCCAGGGAGTAGGGAGGGCCGGGGTCTCAACCATGTCCCCGAACACCTGCACCCAGCCCAGCAAGGACTACCAAGCCACTGTAGGAAGTGCTCTGGGCTCCCAAGCTGGGGTGGTGGGGGGATGAGGGCCTCAGCCCTGCTCCCCTGACACCCACACCCAGCCCAGCAATGACCACCGAGCCACCACAGGAAACACCCCAGGTTCCCAAGTTGGGGTAGTGGGGGGCCAAGGGCTTCAGCTACACACCCCCAACATCTGCAGCCAGCCCAGGGATGATCACCAAACCACTGTTGGAGGCCCCCTGGTCTCCTCTGCAGGAATGGGGGGGGGGGGTGCCACAGGCCTCAACCATGCCCCTTTTCCTCCCTCCTTCCCCAACACTATTTCCTTCTCTCATCCCTTCCCCCTCCCCCCAAGTGCTCCACAGCAACATCTTAAAATGTAAAAATAAATAAATAAACAAAATTTAAAAAAGTAATAAAAATACCTCTGCAGGAATGGGGGGGGGGGTGCCACGGGCCTCAACCTTCATCCTTCTCTCACCCTATTTTCTTTCCTCTTCCCTTTTCCCCTCCCACCCAACTTCTCCACAACAACATCTTAGAATGTAAAAGCAGATGGAGCCAGGGACCGACCCCTCTTCCCACAACCAGGCACACCGCTGCTGCCATGGGCCCACCCAGGGTCCTGAGGCATGGATCTGGGGACTGACCCCTCCTCCTGCAACCAAGCAAGGACCATGCCAAAAACACCACTTCCACGTGGGTGGCCCATCACACCCACCACAATAGCCACAGCTGCCACAAAAGCAGCTAGACACCACAACCACCGTGCAGATGGCCCACCAGCCACTCAAGTGCATTGTCACAAGAGTCACCAGTGGAGCCCAAAGAAAAGAAGAGGGTGTCTATCTCCACAAAGTCCATTCCAGAGTGATAGAAGAATCATCTGCTCTACAATAATAGTGGGGGACCTGAACACACCTCTCTTAGCACTGGACAGATCATATAGGCAACAAATCAACGGAGTAACTGTTACTTTTGCAGAAGGAGAGAAGAAATCTAGGGTTATCAGAGGTGGGGGGGCTAAGGAAAGGGGGATGGGGAGAGATTGGATAAGGGACATAAAGAATAAGTACAATTTGTAATAATATATATGCTAATAATATTGGTTTGATCAACATATGTCAACATTGAACCCCAGAAATACGTATAATCAATCATGATTCAATTTAAAAATACATATACATATACCTAAAAAAAAAAAGAAAAGAACAAATTAGATTTCATCCATATGTGCTTGTGTTAAGACAGTGCCTTCCTTACTTCAGCTGTAAGGGACAGAAAATCCAATCTAAATGGCTGAAACAATAATAAAAATTATTAGCTTACATTACTAGGTAGGGCAACTCCTGAGTTATTTAAAGGGCTCTATGATGTTAATCAAGGACCCTTGTTTTATCATTTTCTGCTTTGCCATCCTCAGTGTATCAGCAGCTCTGTCTTCAGAACAGGCCACCCCAACTTTCATGGTTGCAGGGTGGCTTCAGCAGGCTCCAGGCAGCACATACAAAGTCAGGGGAAGAAATTTGTTCATTTGCATAGTTTTAAGATCAAGCCCTCACCACCTGTCATCCCTCAAGGCTCTGTGGCCACAGTTGCTTCATATTACTGTGCTTGAACTAGCCACTAGGGAGGGGCTTAGCCACCATGACCAGCTAGATCCTAAGGATTCACTGCCTGGGGCTGGGGCTAGGCCAACTGCCCTAGGAGCACTTGGCAGTGTGGAAGGAGGTTAGATACCTGCCAATTTGGAAAGATGAAGATCTGTTACAAAATGAATAAAGCAAGATACAAAACAGAGCTTTAAGTAAAAGAAAATGGGAGATTTTTGTGTGTGTACACTTATTATGTTTGTGATATATATGTACACAAAAATTATAACAGTCTAATGCTAGTTACTAAGTGGGAACTTGTTTTCTCAAAATTGATGGTTAAGGCCCTGAGCTGAGAACAAAAGGTGTTAAGAATCCCCTTGTTAGGTTCACTGGGGCTAGCCACTTCCCTGAAGGACTTCTAGGAATCACTAGTTCCACAGAACTGACTTAACATCCTCTACCACCCTAGCATAACTAGCATAACTACCACCTAGCGTAAGTGGGGAGGGCGTGCAGGGCATCTCCCTCTGAAGCCAAATAAAGCAAGCCTGGGAAAGTTTGTAGTGTCTCCAAGAAAGTAAGAGTGACAATCAGTTCCCCAAGTGGGCATATGCTTTATTGAACTTTTGCTTGTCCTATGAGATCAAGGGGAAAAGTATTGGGGTAGCAAGATGGTCCAGCCCAGGGAGTCAAGGAAAGGGTAGAGAGTGTCCCCACTAGCTACTGCTTCTCTGAAGATGCAGGAGGTGAATTCTGCACGTGCCTCTGAGTTCCAGAGTTTGTGGGGAGGAGGAGGTGGTGGGTAGATAAGATTGAGGCGCTACAGGTTTTTGGGGATCATCATAACAGGATGAAAAGGGTACCTTGGTGCAGAGGCATCTTCCTGGGGGTCAGCCAGAGGATGAAGTTAAATCTTGCAGGGGACATATAACAAATCAGGGATCTAGCTTCTGGGAGTTTACTGCCATCTGAAGACAAGGCTGTCAGTTTGCTACTGGCAGCTACTTGAGCCTGTCTTTCCTCTCCCTCCTCATCCCTGCCTAGGAAAGGGGTTCAGGGGCAGGGGAGGTGTCTCCTACACCAGTAGCTCCCTTGAATCAATGCAGATCTTCTCAAGCTTCTACTCCTCACGTAGTTCTTAAATAGTCCCTAATCAGATCATTGCTGCTTCACCTTCATGTGTTGTTTTGTTTCTTAATCATTGTTCCCTCTGCTGTTGACTATTGCACTCATAGCAGATGTTACCTTTCTAATCAGTGGCAGTGTCACTAACCTGGCTAATGGCATGTTTTCTGAGTCTGCACATGATGGGCAGACCTGCTTACACTTGGCTGAGACGGAGGACTTCAGAGTTCACAAACAGTCATTTCTTGGGTTTCATTATCCAATGTGTAATTCAGCAAATCTGGTTAATAAATCAGTTAGTGGGGAATGTAGCTTTCTCCTGTTCTGTATCAAATTCTTTGGAAATAATATTTTTATTATTATTATTTTACTTAGCAAAAACTGTGAATAATACGCACAATTATTCAGAACATTTAGCAAGTGGCTTCACTTTGTTTCATGTGTATTAAAAATTCATGCTTCCTCTTCTGGTTGCTTTGTTGGGATTAGGAACATTAATATTAGGTGACTTATAAAATTGTGGTTAGAGAAATTTTTTTAATGTTTGAAAAGTTGTGGTTATTTTTATATCTACCTTATTAATCACTAAAATTTTTTTGTATTATTTTTCAGATACCAGAGTAAAAGGATGGTTTCTTCTGGACAATTATGTACCAACATTTGTCTGCTCTGTCATATATTTACTAACTGTATGGCTGGGACCAAAATACATGAAGAATAGACAGCCGTTCTCTTGCCGGGGGATTTTAGTGGTGTATAACCTTGGACTCACGTTGCTGTCTCTCTATATGTTCTGTGAGGTAGGTCAGAGATTGACAAGGGCTTCCTATCACTTAAATGTACTCATATTGCTGTCCTGAATTGTATTCCTAAATGAGGAAAGGCAGCTGCTTGGGGTGAGGAGAGAACTGGGTGAGCAAATATATTAATGAATTTTGAGTATGTTTTAAAATTGATTTTTCAAAATGCTGGAGTTGTTTGTACAAGTATTCCTTTTATATCTAAAATACAACCTTTCCTATTGATTCTTTTATTTCATGATATTCAGAATTAAATATTTTAAAAGTACTCTGATGCAAACAAAATACAGAGTGAAAAATGAACAAAATGTGAAAAACAGATCTGTGAGCATTATATTATTGACCATTTAATAAATGCTTGTTTATTGTTTGGAGGTGGGGAAGGAAGGAAGTGGGTGGTACTTGTGTTTGGTATGTTTTGTGGCAAGTCAGCCTCTCTGTCCTTATCTGATAACTTGTCAAATCTCACAAATTATTTTTCAAAAGCTAAGAAGAGTGGATAGTGAGATCTGCATTTAGATTTTGAATGGTCTATGTGAGTTCAGGCCCAGTTAATTTCTTTTACATAACTGGAATGTTGAAAATCAGATTTGATGATGTCAAAGGCAAATGTAGCTTAAGTAAAAATGATAGAGAAATCAGAATCAACACTTTTGTTCTCCCTATTTGCAAGGGAGAATAGCCTTTAAAGCTAAAAGGGGGAAGAAAGCTGCCCTCCAGTGGTAAACACAATTCGTGTACATTTTTCAGGGAAGGACTACACACATTTCAGGCTTACAACTCAAACCTATTGCTAAACCCTTTGGGGTGGAGAGTTAAGCCATGCATAAACAAACACATTAAAGCACTCCTATTTAGGTTTTTAACCTTTTATTATGGCTTTAAGTCTCCAAGGTGTAGTAAAGAAGAGGATTGGGGGGATCAGTATGAATCTTAAAACTAGTGTTTAGAGTTAAAAATGAATTTTCCATCAGCCTAGGCTGCAATGAAGTCTCCCTGGCTGCATGTGGTGGTGTGCAGGAGTGTGTACGGTTGTATAAGCTAGTGGAAAACTCTGTATTTGATCATCAGAGGTGTTGCAGCTGTGGGAGATCTGTGTCTTGTTTTCCCACTTATGTTTCATAAGCCAAGGTTATAGATTTTTGACTAGAACAGTAGATGCTACTAGCATTGCTTTTAGGACCTGCCATTAACTGAAATGGAGAAAACTGTGGGATGAGCACCTTTAGTGGGAACAAATCGGGAGATTAATATTGAGAATGTTAAGTTGGGAACTTTATTGAATATTTAAATGTAGATTTTTAGTAGCTTCACATGCCAAGACATGCTTACAACTCCTTTTTTGCTTTTTTCTGTCCTGTTCTAGAGTGAAGGCATTTTAATTAGCCTCCAGGAAGGAGATGGCAGGCCTGAAGGCAGGGGAAGTGTGCAGGAGTGACTCCTGGCCCCAGCACTGTGCACATCTCAGTGTTCAAGGGACAAAACTGCAGCAAGCTGTCAGGTTTTTCAGAGTGAACTCTTTACTTTCCCATTAGTGATAGATGATAGAGCCATTTATTTAAGAAAGCTTTTATAGAGTTTATTATTATACATAGCAATATTCTGAGAAAAACATTTAAGATGATTAAATCTTAGAGAACTTAAGTATTTGCCTTATATGTTTCTCAAGCCCTAGAAATATAGCTATAACTTCATAATGTAACCTCTCAAATAGACAATTTTCCAATAAAGAGGGGAAGAAGATTGCTGTATAAATTGCTGCTTTGTGCATCGGCGTGGTTGGGGACTAAGAACCCACTGTAATAGAAAGTAACGATTTTCCTCCTACAGCTTGGTGAGAACAACAGAAGACTTTGAGTAGTGTCTAAGCACTAAATATAGAGATTCAAGAAATACACAGAGGAGGAAAATCATATTTTTAACTTAAAATTTAGAGTACTTAGAGGGGTAATAGACAAGGAGGCAATAGTTTCTTAAATTTATAAAAATATATCCAGGGCTGGCCCGGTGGTGCACTGCTACAGTGCGCCGCTTGGGAGCGCAGTGGCGCTCCCGTCGAGGGTTTGGATCCCACATACAGACCGGTTCCCGCTCACTGGCTGAGCGAGGTGCAGGCACAACACCGAGGATTGCGATCCCATTGCCGGTCCCGGTCCGGTACGGGGGCGACACTGAGGGTTGTGATCCATTGCCGGACACAAAAAAAGACAAAAAAAAAAAGGAAAAAAAAATATATATATATATATATATCCATCCAGGTCAGATATGCCTGAATGGAAAATAAGCCCTAAAACTCCAAGTCAGATGATATTTCCATTTGATTTTTGGCTGGCTTTTTTTCTATTCTTATATAAACCCATCAGTATTATCCTTGTAAGGTGTCCTTTGTCCAGTTTATTTCATTTTAGCTATAGGCTTTTCTTTTTTCATTTAGCATTTCTACTTCATTGAATACTAAGACACAGAAGGGCAGTCATGGAGTTTACAAGAGTGAATTGAGAAGATCATGAAGTTTAGTTGAGCCCCTTATTTTAGAGAAATGTCCTAAGAGATGGAGCCGTTTGCCAGTGTCACACACCTGTGCATGATCATGATTATTAGTTTTTATTTACCTTCCCACTTATCTACATGTTTGGGCCTGTAAAAAATTTTTAAAATAAGTCATCTCTGCTATTCTTGTTTATTTAATTCTGTGGCATAAATTCACAGCTACCTTGGTAAGTTCTGGGTTAATATAAGTAAAATTAACTATCATTTAAGGGAGACAGGGAGAAGTCTTGAAAGAAGGGAAGTAAGGAGGAGTGAAAGAGGAATCAGTGAAACTTTTAAATTACTGGAAGGAAAATAACTAAATCCAATTTTAAAACTGTGAAACTAGTTTAGAACATTGAAGGAATGTTGACTTGTTCATAGTTTACACATTTGGTAGAAAAAAATTAAAAGTAGAGAAAAGGCATTAGTTCAATTATCCCATTAACTTAGTATTTATTTCCAGGAGAAAGGTCATAGATCCTGATTAGTAGTATATTTGAATAGCGGTATGTTTTAGTTCGAAAGTATAAGTTCTGGCGAGCCATTTAGCTTTTGCTTATTAAATTAGGTGTTGCCTAACATCACAGTCAGTAGTGAAGGCTTGAAATAAAATTCCATGTTACAGAAGTGAAACAGCTTAGTTTGCATTAGTTACTCAGCTTTGTAGAAGCATGCCCTCATAGCAAACATAAAAACCATTTGTGCCTTCCTACCCCCTGAGATTCAGGGCATGTGTCATCTAAACAGAAGCCCTACTGTTTTTTTCAAATTATTTATGTGTCTTTCCTCTTGTCCCCAAGCCCCAGATTGAGAACCCCACCTACATGATGCCAGACTGTAGCTTTTTCTTGTTCTGTTGTATCTACCCAGGGGAGCCCTGAGTTTCCCCTGGCCCACCCAGCAAGCTATCAGAGCCACTTCTAACTCCTTTGTTAGAGGATTGCACATCGTAGTCCCTCTTAGGCAGCTACTTTGCCTGATGCAGAACCATTTTATGTGTCTGCTCTTCTGTGCTTATGACCTCCTAGACCCTAGTCAGAGAGGATCTAATTGCGTGGTTTGATATAGTTCAGAAGGGAGTGTCCCTGTTGATCTGTTTGTGCTTTGTGTGCTAATCCTTGGACTCAGCAGCAGCTTCAGGGAAGCAAGGTCAGTGGTGTGCAGTCCACATGGCTTTGAACACCCCAAGGACACTTTACCGAAAGGACTGCTGGCTTCTTTCTTTCAGAGGAGATGCTCTGTGCATTATGCTTCACTCTACTCAAGCACCACCAGCTCCAGGCTCTTTTCTTCTTTTGGGCCTCTACCCCTTAGAAAGTCCTTCTTCCTTTCAGACCTGAGCCCACCTCTGTGGGGCAAATATACATCTCACTTTCAAGGACCCTGCACAAGGATCCAGTTCCTCAGTGAATTCCTGAGTACTGAGGGAGAAGACTCAGCTCTAGATTGCAAGGACTTAGCTCTAAAGTGGTGACTTTTTTCAGCCTCTTTGGCCTCCCTGTTGTTTCAGAGAATATGGTGCTTTCAATTAAAGTGCTCTCATGATGTGCCCCTTAAAATCCCATCCCTCACCCACTCAACGCTCACAATTCACTGGCTTGCAAATGAAAAGGTCTAAAATGAAAAGGTTTCTTGCGCACCTTTTTCTTCCCATTATCACCATGACTGGTTATTCCACAAAATGTATCTTGAGTATTAGGACAGGAAAAAGCAAATGACAACCTCATTTTTTTTTTCCTTTTTGTCTTTTTTACTGACCAGTAATGGGATCGCAACCCTCGGTGTTGCGCCCGTACCGGGGACCGGCAACGGGATCGCAACCCTCGATGTTGCGCCGCACCACGCTCAGCCAGTGAGTGGGAACTGGTCTCTACAATGGGATCCGAACCCTCGGCGGCAGTGCCGCCGCACTCCCAAGCGGCGCACTCTCCAGTGTGCCACTGGGCCGGCCCGACAACCTCATTTTTATGTTATTTACCTGTCAAAGATAAATCATGGGTTACAAACAAGATTTTTTTCAGTATCTTTGTCTCCTCTCTTGCAGTTAGAACTCTGTTGTAATAGTGTGAGAGAATTATCTTTCAAACATTTAGAACATTTAAAAAGTAATTTTGAAAATAAAAAGGATAGATGATGGATCTAGCTTGGCATAGATCCAAATCTTATTTTCTTCTCTACTGCATTTTTAATTTTAAATTGTAATTTTGAAACTATTTCAAAATACTTAAAATAAAAATTGCATAAATGATAGCTGTGTACTTAAGAAATGTTGACATTTTATTGGTTTGCTTTTCTTGTTTGTTTACATAAGAACACATTACAAAAATGCACATAAAGTGAAGCCATTTCACAGACATAACTTTCTTCTAAAGTTTGTATGTTACTTCTCTGGATATGTGTTTACATTTTTACTACATATATATGTATACATGACAATATATAGTCTCTTTGGAGACAATTTTTAAAAT